CAGTGAACTTATTTGGAACTTCCCAGATACACGAGAAATAAATGAACAAAATGAAATAAATTAAAACAAAAAGAGTTAAAATAAACCATGTTTTCTCAAAATCCCACAATTAAAAATACCTACAGCTCAAAAAAAAAGCCTAATATTTCATTCTAACCAGATTCCAAACCCAAAAATAGTATAAAATTCCCAAAAAAATCTGAACTTCTTCAATTCACACTACAATGCACGTTTCATAATCAGCAAAACCAAGAGACTTACCTTTCCCTTCATCGTTCTCATCATCGCCTGTGTCAACTTGCATAGGTTTAGGTGACTCGCTGTCTTCCCGCTGAGTAGAAGTTGCTGAAGCAGCATTTTTTTCGTCGCTTTCATTTCGAGAGGTACCTTAAAGTTAACCAGTGTGTCTAATTGCAACAGAACTTTAAAGAACTTCAGTCTGAAGTATTCGAAAACCACAAAGTGCTTACTTTCCTCGTCGCTTAAAGCTTCGTTTTTTACGTCACCATTCAATTTTGCAGCTCTTGCGGTGTTCATATTTATGTGACGTCTAGTATTAATCAAACTTCCTAAATTAGCCGAAACATTGAAAAATACTGTGACAGTAAAATTTTTAAGGAATTCCCATATAGGAAAAAACAAATAAACCTCTGCAAAGAGATCTACAAGCAACTCTTTCTCTATTTTATTCTGAAATGAAAATAACCTAACAGTAGCCAAGAAAAGAACGCTTTAAAAAACAAAGTCTCACGTAATACTTACTGTCATCGATTCGTTCTGCTCTGTCGGCAATCTTCAGAAGAGCTTTTGGAATTTCCCGTCGTCTGTAGTAACATAATACTTTTGCTTCGACATTACCAGCGCTTGTCTGAAAACGATTAAAACTTGCTGCATAAGAAACGCTCACCTGTGCAGAACACTCATATAAATCCCTAGGAAAGAAAAAAACTTTATTGAACTCATTGAAGAAGTTACAAATTAAAACCGATACGATGATGGCACTGTATGAAGAATTTTCACATGACTTTTAAGTGCTGTTTGTCTACAGTTGCCACAAATGACAAAAATTAGTGGTAGAGAACGCACTTCAAGAATAACCTTCAGTAACAAAAAAATATTAAACAAAAAATAAATAAATACAAATAACCAACAATTTAAAACCTACTTTATTCAATTCCTCTATCTTCCTTATCTGATAGGGGGCTGAACTAGATGTTTCAAAATAAACATAGTCTAAAAAAGATAAATGATTACATGCCGTGTTTGCAGTAAGACACAATAAAAAAAAAATCCAATAATATTTCAGATTAGTTTTCTCAAGTCGTTAGGTAACAGCGAGTTTCAAAGCCTGGAATAAAAGTGAAACTTATAACTTCCTCTTTTTCTACCGAAGGAAGGAAATCTGTCTAACAATAAAATTTAGAAGGCAATGTTTAAATTAAAAACTTTTCTAAATTTCAAGAAGTGAAAGAAGCTCATGCGAAATGCCGCACTTGTCTTGCTGCCTGATATAATTCAAAATTTGAAACGAAGAAAATGTGAAATTATCTATGAAAAGGACTGACAGTTAGCTTACAGTACAGCGAGGAAAACCTAGAATTTTAATTCAAGCTAAACTTCGAAAATGTATTTTACTAAAATCGAGGCAGAAAGCTGACGAATGTTTTGCTTAAACAGTAAGAGAAAATGAATGGAATGATAACTTTAACTGCGAACAGTTTCACAGTGAGTTTTGATGCACGAGGCAAGTCACGGTAAAACCGCTAAAAATTACATGAAGTTACATCTAACTTTTCACTTCTAACTCACACTGTCTGTCGTGCCTGTTTTTAAATACCCATACTTTCTGATTAAGGCTTTTAACGTCCTAAGAGTTACGCGATAGTTTTTGCGGCATTGAAGGCGTTGCGGTCGGCAAAGGCAACAAGACCACATGCGGCGTGCGCAGTATACCCTCGTGTGGCACACTATTGGTGCACTCACATCCTAACTGTTTTTAGCTCACCTACGTCCTGATTAAGCATTCAACAACGAAACCAAAAATAACACTACCACCACCATCATCATCATCACTGCTGCTACCACCACGATCACTATCACCAACAAAAACAGCAATAAACAACAACAACAAAAAAAAACAATGGCAACAGTAACAATAGATTCCGGTCCTTCCAATTCTGGAAACAGAGTAAAGTTTAGTTAATTTTT